TTGTGGGCTTTGTGCACAGTCTTGTTGTAGTTAAGCCTTGATTGTTGTAGGTAAAACTGGGAGGATTTGACCTCCAGGCCAATTGGCTGTGAGAATCAGCTGTGTCTACAGTGGGAGAACTTCTGTGCTGAAGACACCCTTATGGGACAAGACTTGCTTCAGTGGGGCTTTGGTTGCTCACTGAGTCTGCCCCTGAGTGTGTCCCTTATAGATCTGAGGAGTTGTAATTGGATGGTCCCACTCTGACCACTGGGTACACTGGCTCTTGTCCTTTTGTGTCTGGCTTCTTGTTTTCAAAATTCATCCATGTTATAGAATGTATCAAAATGTCATTCTTCTTTTGGCTCAGTAATATTCCATTGCATGGATATACCAAATTTGGTTTATCCATTCATCTGTTGATGAACATTCGAGGTTGTTTACACCTATTGGCTATTATGAGTAATGTTTTAGTAAACACTGGTGTACAAGTATCTGACTAGGGACAATTCCTTTGGGTATACACTTAGGAGTAGAATTGCTGAATCATATGGCAATTGTATTTTTAGCTTTTTAGGAACCTCCAAATCTTTCCATAGTGGCTACACCAGCAATGTTATGAGGGTTCCAATTTTTCCATATCCTCCCCAATACTTATTTTCTGGTTTTTAACTTCTTTTTAAATTGAACTTATTGGGGATAACATTGATTAATAAAATTATATAGGTTTCAGGTATACAATTTGATAACACACCATCTGTATATTGTATTGTATGTTTACCACCCCAAGTCATGTCTTCTTTCATCACCATTTATCGCTTCTTTACCATCTTCTACCTCCCCCACCTGTTCCCCCTTTCCATCTAGTAATCACCATACTTTTGTCTGAGTCTCTGAGGTTGTTGTTTTTTTCTTAATCCCTTCATCCTTTCCACCCAGCCCCACAACCCTCTCCCCTCTGACAGCTAGTTGTCAGTCTATTCTCTGTATCTGTAGGTCCGTTTCTATTTTATTTGCTAGTTTATTTTGTTCATTAGATTCTACATATAAGTGAAGTCAATATTTCAATATCTAGAATATGCAAATTATTAGACACAAAAAATAGATTAGAGGTTACCAGGGACTAGAGGGAAGAAAAAATGGGGGTGTATTGCTTAATGGTTATAGAATTTCTGTTTGAGGTGATGAAAAAGTTTTGGAAATAGTGATGGTTGCAAAACATGGTGAATGTAATTAATGCCACTGAACTGTATACCTAAAAATCATTAAAATGGCAAATTTTGTTATACTTTATCACAACTAAAAATAATGTAACATACCAAAAACCTCTGAATTGTACACTTTAAATGGGCAAACTATATATTGTAATAACTATGCATGGTGTCAGGTGGGTACTGGATTTACTGGGGGAATCACATCACAAATTACATCAATGTCTAACCACTATGATATCCACCTAAAACTAATATAATATTGAATGTCAAATGTAATGAAAAATAAAAGGCAATCTACAGAATGGAAAAAAATAGTTATAAGTCATATATCTGATAAGAGATTAATATCCAAAATATATGAAGAACTCATACAACTCAACAACAATAACAAAATTTAAAAATGGGCAAAAGGTATTAATAGACATTTCTTGAAAGACAAAAATGGCCAGCAGGTATATGAAAAAGTGATCAACACCATTAATCATCAGGGAAATGCAAATCAAAACTACAATGAAATATCACCTCAGACCTGTCAGAATAGTTACTATCAAAAAGAAAAAAAAATAGCCTAGCTGGTGTGGCTCAGTGGTTGAGCATCGACCTATGAACCAGGAGGTCACCATTCGATTCCTGGTCAGGGCACATGCCCAGGTTGCAGTCTTGATCCCCAGTAGGGGGCATGCAGGAGGCAGCCAATCAATGTTTCTCTCTCATCAATGTTTCTCTCCCTTCTTCTCTGAAATCAATAAAAATATATATTTTTTGAAAGACAAAAAATACGTATTGGCAAGAATGTAAAAAAAAGGAAACCCTTGTACATTACTAGTGGGAATGTAAATTGGTGCAGCCATTATGGGAAACAATATGGAGATTCCTCAAAAGATTAAAAGTAGAACTACCTTATAATCTAGAAATCCCACTTCTAAGTATATAACCAAAGAAAATGAAATCACCATCTCAAAGAGATGTCTGCATTCCCATGTTCACTGTAATATTATTCACAATAGCCAAGATATGGAAACAACCCAGTGTCTGTCTGTCAATGGATGAATGCATGTGGTGTATAAAGAAAATGTGTTATGGCCCTGGCCTGTGTGGCTCAGCTGGTTGGAGCATCGTCCCGACTGAAAGGTTGTGGGTTTGATCCCTAGCTGAAGTCCCTAGTTGGGATGTTTACAGGAGGCAACCAATCGATGTTTCTCTCTCTTTCTCAAAAAAATAAGCATGTCCTCAAATAAAGATTTTTTTAAAAAGGAAGTATGGTGTGTGTGTGTGTGTAAATGTAATATTATTTAGCCTTAAAAAAATAAGGAAATCCTGCCATTTGAAACAACATGGATAAACCTAGAGGAAGAAATAAAATAAGCCAGGCACAGACACTGCATGATACCACTTATATCTAGAATCTAAAAAGTTGAATTCATAGCCCTAGCTGGTTTGGCTCACTGGGTAGAGCGTCAGCCTGCAGACTGAAGGGCCCCTGGTTCAAATCTGGACAAGGACACATGACCGGTTGCGGGCTCGATCCCCAGTGTGGGGTGTGCAGGAGGCAGCCGATCAGTGATTCTCTCTCATCATTGATATTTCTGTCTCCCTCTCCCTCTCCCTTCCTCTCTGAACTAAATAAATAAATAAATCTCATCAGACAGTAAAAAAAAAAAAGTTGAACTCATAGAAGCAGAGAACAGAATGGTGGTTAGCAGGAGGGGGCGGGGGAATGGGGAGATGTTGGTCAAAGGGTATACAAAGATTCAGTTTTGCAGAATGAGTAAGTTCTGGGGATCTTATGTACAGCATGAAAACCGAAATTAAAAATAGTACATTGTACACTTGAAATTTGCTAGAAGAATACACCTTAGCCACACACAAAAAAAGGTGAGTATATAGGTGAGTGATATGTTAATTAACTGTGTAATCATTTCACAATATATACATATATCAAAAATCATGATGTATACCTTAAATATATACAATTTTTCTCAATTATACTTCAATAAAGCTGAAAAAAAGAATTTAGGAATGAAATGTTATGTTATGTCACCTACTTTCAAATGCTTGACAAGCCCTAGCAGGTTTGGCTCAGTGGATAGAGGGCTTGCAGACTGAAGGGTCCCAGGTTCGATTCCATTCAAGGGCACATGCCCAGGTTGCTGGCTCCATCCCCACTGGGGGGGCATGCAGGAGGGAGCCAATCAATGATTCTCTCTCATAACTGATGTTTCTATCTCTCTCTCCCTCTCCCTTCCTCTCTGAAATCAACAAAAATGTACTTAAAAAAAACACACACCACAAAAAAACAAAAAATGCTTGGCAAAAAGTGTAGTTAGTGTATACAGAAAGATATGGAGGTGTTGTTAAATGTTAATAGTTGATGAATCAAGGTAATCCACTGTAGCATGCTTTCAGCTTTGAGTCTTTTAGTTTTTCAACTGTGAGTTTAAAAATACCTCTGGGGGATACAGAAGCAGTATGTAAGTACTCCCATAAAAAAATCGTGCTAGCCCAGCCAGTGTGGCTCAGTGGTTGAGCAGTGACCTATGAACCAGGAGGTCACAATTCGATTCCAGGTCAGGGCATATGCCCAGGTTGGAGGCTTGATCCCCAGTAGGTGGCATGTAGGAGGCAGCTGATAAATGATTCTCTCTTATCATTAGACATTAAAATTTTTTTTGTTAATCCTCACCCAATATTTTTCCATTAATTTTTAGAAAGAGTGGAAGGGAAGAGGAGAGACAGAGAGAGAAACATCGATGAGAGAGAGAGAGAGAGAGAGAGAGATCGATTGGTTGCCTCCTGCATCAGCCCTGACCAGGGCCAGGGATCGTGCCTTTGACTGGAATCAAACCCAAGACCCTTCAGACCGTGGGCCAACACTCTATCCACTGAGCAAAACTGGCTAGGGCAATATTAGTATTTTTAATAATAAAATCGTGTACTTAGCCTTCCCCTCAATCTCTAATGTTGTAGCGTAAGGCAGTTAGTGACTTCAAGGTGTTTTAATAAACTCTTCCTTCATTTTTCTACTTCAGTGCTTAGACTGTGTTTGATAATTATGTTTGTACCTATATTTCACTCTTCTAAAGGACACCAGGGTGTATTGTATTTATTACTATATCAAACATAACATCTGATATGCTGTTAAATAATAGCATAATAAAATAATCAGAAAGGGAACAAAAAAAGCCCCGAGTAAGTAAAAGGAAGGAAATAATAATGGTCAGAGCAGAAATAAATGACAAATAGACTAAAAAAAACCATAGAAATGATCAATGAAACCAAGAGCTGGCTCGTTGAAAAGATAAACAAGATTGATGGAACTTTAGCCAGACTCATCAAGAAACAAAGAGAGAGGACCCAAATAAATAAAATCAGAAATGAAAGAGGCAAGAACACAACTAAGATCATAGAAACACAATAGATTGTAAGAAAATACTTTGAAGATCTATATGCCAACAAACTGAACAACCTGGGTGAAATGGACAAATTCCTAGAAACATACAATCTTCCAAAACTCAATCAGGAAGAATCAGAAAACCTCAATAGGCAATAACAACTAATGAAATTGAAGCAGTAATTAAAACACCCCCAGCAAACAAAAGCCCTGGACCAGATGGCTTCATGGTAAGTTTTACCAAACATTTAAAGAAGAATTAACACCAATCCCCCTCAAACTATTCCAAAAAATTCAAGAGGAGGGAAGACATCCAAGCTCTTTTTATGAGGCCAGCATTCTCCTAATCCCAAAACCAGATAAAGACACTATAAAGAGAGAAAATTATAGGCCAATATCCCTGATGAACACAGATGCTAAAATCCTCAACAAAATATTAGCAAATAGGATCAAGCAATACATTAAAAAGATCATACACCATGACCAAGTGGGACTTATTCCGGGGATGCAAGGATGGTTCAATATTCAAAAATCAATAAACGTGATACACCACATAAATAAAAATGAAGGATAAAAATCATATGATCATATCAATAGACACAGAAAAAGCATTTGACAAAATCCAGTATCCATTTATGATAAAAACTCTCAGCAAAGTGGGAATAGAGGGATCATACCTCAACATAATAAAGGTCATATGACAAACTTACAGCCAACATAATACTCAATGGGCAAAAACTAAAAGCATTTCCCTTAAGATTAGGAATACACAGGGATATCGCTTTCACCACTCTTATTCAATACTAGAGGCCCGGTGCATGACATTCATGCACTTGG